CTCGCGGCTGGAGGGCCGGGCGCTGGGGGGCGCTTTGTGCTCTTACGTCACCAGCCCAGGGCGCCCCGAGAGCCCCGAGTTGCCCAGGGAACCCCCACCCCGTCCTCAGTGTCCCTGTAGAAAGTCCCTGAACTTCTTGGGGTCTTGACTTGAAGACCGACCTCCTGCTCAGTCACTTTCAGGAAAGAACTTAATTCGAGGAGGAGCCGCAGTTCTTCAATGGGCGCTGGGCCGGCGCCGGCTGAGCCCGCGGGGGGCACGGCTCCAGGAGGCGCTGCTCACGGCCTCGGCCACGGGCGAGAGAGGGTCCGGGCGCGGGGAGCGCGTGTCTGGGCTTCCTGGGAGGCCGGCGCCCAGACCCACTGCGCCACCTTCGCACATCACCCCAGACGCCCCAGACACGCCCGGGTTTGGGCCATCGGGCCCCACGCCCAGGCCACCTGGGACACTCGTCGGAGGAACAGAAGCTCTCGGGGCCTGGGCGCTGCGGGGGACGGGCCGGAGCCTCCTTCCACACGTTTACCAAGGAGGACACTGAGGCCCGCAAGGGGGTGCACAGGAGCTCGGAGCTAACCCGCCCGATGGGGCACCAGCAGCCCAGAGGCGGTCACCCCAGAACGCAGGCCGTGTCCCCTCTAACCCCCCCAACCCCCTGCCCTGTCCGCACCCCAGCGAGCCCTCCCCCGCACAGTCGCTCACGGCCAGCTCACTTCTGGGTGCCGAAGTTCCAGCCGCCGATGGCCAGCAGCGTCTTCAGCCGGGGGTTCCTGGAGAGGACAGAGGGCGGTCAGGCTGGGCCCGGCTCCGCCCGGCTGCGGGCACCCTGGCGGGGGGTGGGGGTGGGGGGCGTGGGGACATGTGAGCTCGGGGCACAGGCCGGAGCTCTAGGCTGGGACGGGAGAACCCAGCCGGCTGAGGACAGACCCTCAGGGGGTGTGGCCAAGGTGGCAGACACCAGAGCTGATGGACGGACGCACAGATGGACAGATGGACGGATTTTAGGACAAAGGATCCCACCTGGACCTAAACCAAGGGCCTGGGGTCCCTGTCCACCTCGTCACCCCCATGGAGCCCAAGAAGCCCAAAGAGGGGGAGGGAATGGTCCACAGCTACACAGCGGGGCCCACGGCCGGACGGCCGAGTCGCCCCAGGCTGCAGAGCTGGGGGCCTGGCCCCTGGGAGGTCCCGCCCCGCAGCTCACCTCTGCTTCAGGCCGTTGAAGTCCCGGTACAGCTGCTCGTCGTTCCACTCGACAGGGCTGAGCTGGTGCCCCTTCATGCCCGCGAAGGCGTAGATGAGGTGCGTGCACAGGTCGGGGTCCACGTCCTGGGGCAGGAAGCGTGCGGCCCCCTGTCTGTACTGGGCCCAGTTGGTGAAGTAGCAGACCAGCTTCTCAGGGGAGCCTGGGGGGGGGCGGGGGGGGGGAAGGCATGAAGAGAAATGCCAGTCAGCAGGGGGCGCTGGGGCCTGGCATCCGGGGAGGGTTGGGGGGGGAAGGGGGGGTGCAGGGTACAGCTGAGCCAGGGAAGGCGGGGGAGGGTGGGGAGGGGGGAGGGGAGGGGTACAGCTGAGCTGGGGAAGTCGGGGGGGGGGGGGGGCCCAGAGCCTGCAGACAACACGCACCGAATGGGAGGAGCAGCAGGGCCAGCAAACCTGCAGCAGAGAGAGGTGGAGGGTCAGGCATCATCCACCATCCTGGCCCCAAGGCCATTGCAGCCCCGGACAGCCTCCCACAGACCAGCTTCCTCTGCCCGAGGGACCAGGAGGGCACTGGGTCCAGGCTCCCCAGGCCCCCCCTGAGGATCCCTAGCCCCCCGGGCCCCCCAGGTCCCCCGGCCCCCCAGTCACTCCCCGGCCCTCTGGCCCCCCCAGGCCGAGGCAGGTTTCCTGAGCTGCGCCCTCCGAAGCAGGGGGAGAGAGTGGGGGGAGGGCGGGGGAGGGCAGTGGGAACATCTGGGGAAACACTGATTTGGGGTGCCTCTTTGGGACGAAGACCTTCTGGGGCTGACAAGGCCGTTCGGGGAGGCCGGGCGGACTGCCCCCAGCTGAGGCCTGCGCGCCCCACAGAGCGGCCGAGGGCACCTGGCAGGACTAGGCGAGGCCTGTGCCACCTCCAGTGCCCTCGGGTCCCCCTCAACCTAACTCAAAGGGAGACTCAGGGCCGTGGCCCAGGTGCCCTCCTGTGGGCAACCCCCGTGGGGTCGGCTTGAGCCCTTGGCAGGGCCGCTCTGGGACAAGGCCGGGGCAGGGACAGGGGGCAGGGACGGGGGCAGGGACGGGGGCAGGGCCGCTCTGGGAGGAAGCTGGGCAGGGACAGGGGCAGGGACAGGGCTGCTCTGGGATGAGGCCGGGGCAGGGAGAGGGGCAGGGCCGCTCTGGGACGAGGCTGGGCAGGGATGGGGCAGGGCCGCTCTGGGAGGAAGCCGGGGCAGGGACAGGGGCAGGGATGGGGCAGGGCCGCTCTGAGCGGGCTTTGGGGACAGGAGAAGGGCTCGTCTCAGCCGGTTGAGGAAACTGTCCTGTGACAGACGGTCTCGGGCTGATACCCCAGGAACCGCAGGACGGGGATGGGGTCCCGCAGGCGAAGGGCAGGGGGAGGGGTGGCCCCACTCGCAGGGCCCCCAGTGCGCTGCCCCAGGCGCCTCCCCAGCTCCGACGATGCCCACTCACCTGTCCAGGCCACGGAACCTGCCATGGCGTCGGCTTGGCAACAGGCAGCTGGTGACAACTCTGCCTCCCGCCTTTTATCAGCCGCCCGTCTCACCCACGGCGACAGGGGCGGAGGGGAGAGGGGGCTGGGCAGTGGGCGCAGCACGGATTGTGCAAACGGACACCCGGCCTTCCTTGAGCAACTCCTGCCTCCGGGACAACCACAGGGACAACCACAGGGTACACGCGCGCTCGGCGTTGCCAAAGGGGGGGGGGGGGGGAGGAAGTGTGTCCCAACCTTCAGCGGACAGCGGGCTGCGGCCTCCGCGAGGCTGGGACCACGTGCGGCCCAGCCGTCATGGGACTCGGAGAAGTGGCTCAAGGCCAGGGAGCCGGTCCCAGCCCCGCCTGCGCAGGTCCCACGCCCTCACCGCCCCGAGGTGTCGGCTGGCGCGGGGCCTGGCAGCGACGCTTCCCTGACTGTGACCGAGAGGAGCACTCACCGCCACGGCGACCACACCTGAGGGTGAGGGTGGGGGGTTCGGGTCTTGTTCCTCCAGGCCATGTTCTCGCTGCCGCACAGGCTCCGGGGGGCAGGGGGGAGCGCCCCCCACGGACAGGTCCCCTGCAAATGCCAACACACGCCCTGTTTCCTACAGGCCCAGTAGCCACCATGACCTGGAAAATGCCGATGGACTTTCCATTAAAATAAGGCAGACAGCCCTGACCGGTGTGGCTCAGTGGATAGAGTGTCGGCCTGCGGACTGAAGGGTCCCGGGTTCGATTCCGGGCAAGGGCATGTACCTTGGCTGCAGGCACATACCCAGTGGGGGGCGTGCAGGAGGCAGCTGATCAATGTTCCTCTCTCATCGATGTTTCTAACTCTCTATCCCTCTCCCTTCCTCTCGTAAAAAATCAATAAAAGATATTTTTTAAAAAATAAGGCATCCACCAGGCTGAAGGCTTTCACCATCGCTCAGCATTGGTAAGAAATTTAGCTATCAGCCTGGCCGGCGGGGCTCAGTGGTTGAGCATCAACCAATGAACCAGGAGGTCAGGGTTCAATTCCCAGGCAGGGCACACGCCCGGGTTGGGGGCTCGATCCCCAGTGTGGGGTGTGCAGAAGGCAGACAATCAATGATTCTCTCATCATTGATGTTTTTTATCTCTCTCTTCCTCTCTGAAATTAATTTTTAATATTTTATTTTTATTATATACTAGAGGCCCGGTGCACGAAATTCGTGCATTGGGGGGGGGGGTGTCCCTTAGCCCGGCCTGTGCCCTCTCACGGCGCAAGAGCCCACAGGGAGCGGGCCTAAGCCGGCAGTCGGACATCCTTAGCACTGCCTCAGAGGCGGGAGAGGCTCCTGCCACCACCGCTGCGCTCGCCAGCCTTGAGCCCAGCTTCTGGCTGAGCGGCGCTCCCCCTGTAGGAGCACACTGACCACCAGGGGGCAGCTCCTGCGTCGAGCATCTGCCCCCTAGTGGTCAGTACACATCATAGCGACTGGTCGTTTCACCCTTTGGTCGATTTGCATATTAGCCTTTTATTATATAGGATGATGACAGCGAATCATTGATCAGCTGCCTCCTGCACACCCCACATGGGGGATCGAGCCCCCAACCCGGGCGTGTGCCCTTGACCGGAATCCAACCCAGGACCCTTCAGTCCGCAGGCCAACGCTCCATCCTCTGAGCCAGACCAACTAGGGCTGAAACCAATTTTTTTTTTAATTAAAAAAAATTAGTTTCTATTATACTAACAAAAGAAAAAACACGAACGCTTCAGTCGCCAACAGTTGTCGGTATGTTCGTACGTCTAGAAAGCTCTCGGGTAGGTTTGCAGATTCGAGACAAATAACCACAGATGAAAGCAGAGCCGGTGAGGCGGCCGGACTTGAGGCTCAGACACAGAAGCCGCGAGCTCTTCTCTAGCTCGACAATAGCCAGCGAAAGCGGAAACGGGCAAATGCATGTCGGAAGCTGCAGACACTTAGCAACAAGCTTAACGGTAAAATGCCTGCCGTCTGGGCCCCTGCCGAGGGGCTGGGTCCTGGCAGGCGCCGCGAGGGGGCACCGCTGACGTGGCCTTCGGTCACGCTGAACCCCACATCCGGGCGTCCCCGCTGCCCTCTGGGGACAAAGGCCCATTGAGCCCTCTGGCCCCGCCGGCTGTGGCTTCGCCTGCCCAGATGCCAGCTCGCTTCCTGGTCCCGCTGGACCGTGTCGGGCACCGGAGCTGAGAAGGGCCTCCCTCACCCCGTGTAGCCGAGCCCGGAGACAGACCCAGCCATGCGCCAGGCCCCCCGCAGCCCCCGCCACCGCACACAGCTCTCCACACAGCGACGCCATTGTCTTCACCGCAGCGTCTGAAGGCGGAACACAGGCCAGCGCAGGCGCCCGCTGCCCCCGGGGCCTGGACCGCGCTGCCGCCAGAGAGAGAGAGACGTGTCCCCGCTGTTCTCCACGACGGCACGCCGGTCCTGACCCGCACGCACTCCCCGCGCCCCGGGACAGCCGTCCGGGGAATGAAACGGCATCAACCAATGAGGACAAGGACCCGGTGGCAGGGGGACCGAAGCGAAGGCTAAACCAGGACACACAGGGCGACAGGGTCCGCAGACCTGGGAACCTGAGACCGCGGGCAGAGGGGACCATGGGCAGCAGGACAGCAGGACGGTGTCAAGGCCCCGGAGAGACAGTGAGGGGGCGGGCCTGACCACGGTGCGTGTGGGGACTGCTAGTGTGGGGACCCCCTCTTCACCCCCATCAAGTACAGGATGGACCAGAGTGGCTGTGGCTGGGAGCCCCTCGCCAGGCAGAGATCGCAGGGCTGGGGGTGGACTGAGGCCAAGGGGGCCAGACCTCCCCCCCTCCCTCCCCTGAAGCCTCAAGCCGGGCTCCAGAACTTCCTCCGAGAGAACTGACAGCCTCCAGGAAAAGCAACTGACCCTTTGACAGCCCCTGGGCCCTCAACAGAACAGCCGCGCTCCCGCGTCCCCATCGTGGGGCCCCGGGCTCCCGCCGGCCGGCCGGGGTGACTCAGTGGCGCGTGGGAGGCAGGCCACGGGTCTAGCACGGAGGAGGCGTCCCCACGTGGACACGGACCCACACCGAGGGAGACGCAGGGATCGCCCGCCGGGGGCGGCGGCTGCACTGCGTCAGCCATGAGCTCGAGCTCCTTTCCGGCTGAAGGCAGACTGTGCTTCGCCGCCCACGGTGAGGCCGCAAGTGCTGGTCACACGCTGGGAACGCTGGGAGCACGTCGCAGCCCGATCCTGTCGGGCAGGGGCCATTTTTATCGATCGATCGACTGACCGATTGATTGGCTTGGGTCACTTCTCAAAATGCACGTGCTGGGGACAGGTGCGGCCCGAATCACTCACATCCCGGCCTCTCCTCCCCGAGGGAGGCGCCTGGCCCCCCACGGCTCGAGGCTTTTACCTTCCCCCCAACATGTTAGAGTTGAGACTCATGACTCAGGTTTAAACGTGATTGATTTTACATAAACACCAGAGACACAATCCATGAAAGAAAAACCGCTGAATTGAGATCGTGGAAAACCTCTCCAGTATTAAGAGCACGAAAAGCTTCAAACTGGGAGAAAATATCTGCAAAACGCATTTGGGATAAAGAACTTGTGACCAAAATTTGGAAATAACACGGGAGCGTCCGTCACCGGGAGGCTCTCTGACGCCACCTGGTGCCTATCTTTTGAAGAACACCGGGCTGGCTGTCACCGAGAAGCCGCCTTCCGTCCTGCACCTTGGACAGGCCGCCCGAGGGCAGCTCATAAAAAACAAAGACCCTCCTCTGCTGCCATCTCGGCTGCACCTGGGGAACAACACCTGAGTGGGGGTCCCAGGGAAGGTCTTTCCCCGCTTCCTCCAGTGAACATTTGGGGGAACGCTCCTTTCTGGCGCCCTCTAGTGTGCACTTTAGGAACAACACCCAGAGGGCTCCCCTGCAGGCCCGTCACCCGACACCTGCCTGCACGGCAGACCAGGGAGCCCTGCCCGTTCTGGCCTGTCCGCACGACTCCAACCACTGTTGTTCTTCCAAATCGCATTTTATTAGTTTATTAGCGGCCGTGGGATTGCCAGTTAAGCAGGTTCCTTCCAGAGAGGGTAAGCCCTGCAGATCAGTCACAGCAGAAACACCGCTCCAGTGGGAAGGTTAACGGGACCCTCTCCACCAGGGAACGCCCCCCTTCCCCGCGCCGACCACACGGCCCCCACCCAGCTCAGGGGTGGGGCCCAGGCTGCACCATCAGCTCCGGGAGCGCAGGTTACCAGAGGGTCCTTTTAGGTCTGGAAGCCTCGATGTTAGCAAGTCAGCGAGGGTCCGACCGTCCTCAGAAACCCGTCTGCCGCTCCCGCTGTCTTTTACCCACGTCCTTCGAGCCCAGTGGACGCCGCGACACCGCGCTCAGCTGGCCTCTGCCCACGAGCCCTGCTGCTCCTGCCGCCGTCAGACGCGTCCGCGGACTCTCTTCCCACCTGCCTCCCGGTCCCGCCAGAAAGTGCAACCACGACAGCCCGGGATGGGGGGCAGCTCTGCCACTGGGGGGGGAGGGGGGGTCTGGGGGGGGGTGTTTCCCGATTCCAGCTCCCTGCGCGAGGACATTCCGGTGGCGGTTGGGCTGAGATCATGTCGGTTCTTCTTTCTAACCTGAGACCAGGGGGCGGCTCAAGAGATGGCTCCGGCCTGTCACCCTCGCTCGCTGCATTTTGACCTCACTGTGGGCACTTCTCTCCTCCCTTCAGACTCCGCCCCTCACCACGCACTGGGACAGGCACTGCTCCAGGGGCAGGACGCGGGGCAGACCGGAGGGCGATTCCGGTTCTAGCTAACGGGTCAAGCTGAGCCTGCGACCCAGGCAACGGCGTCACCTGCAGGCCAGCCCCTGGCCTAACCCTCCGGGGCTCAGGGCAGGTCAGTGACCCTGGTGTCGCCAAGGTTGACGCCGACGTGCAGCTTGCCGTCCTTGGCGGCCGCCCAGGCCATGGACTCCGAGGTCCACTGGGCCGCCCAGTCTCCTGCTGTGTTGAGCAAGATGACACCACCCAGGCCTTGGAGCTTGGACTTCATGTAACCCAGCGCCGCCGTCGCCGCCTCGTCCAGTGTCCTTCCTGAAAGCGAGAGCAGGCTGAGGACGAGACGTTACTTCAAAGGAACCCGAGGGGCCTGTGCGGCGTGAGGAACCGACGCCCGTGGACACCCGAGAGCTTCAAGGACGGTACCGCACAGGCCATCCTCGCTGAGCCACCTGCCAGGGGGGACGCCGGCTCTCCCCACCCAGCTCAGAGCCGCTGCCCCACGAGGGACAGGCAGCAGCATAAACGTGAGTCCGCCCCCGACAGAGGTGGGGGAGTCGACACGGACACAGTGTCTACCTGCAAGCCAACGCCTGCAGCGCAGGGGAGAGGGCGAGACCCGCCTCTAGACGGCATGCCCCTGTCCACGTACCCCGCTCCACGTGGAAGAGCACGAGCCTGGCCAGGTTCACCTTCAGGATGCTCTCCCCGTGCCCCGTGGTGGAAGCAGCTCCAATGGCACTGTCGGCGTAGCCCCCGGATCCTGCTCGGAGAAGGCGTGCGGCCTGAGCAGGGCGGACAGAGTGCAGCCCAGCCGGCGGCCCCGTGCTGAGCGCCCGCCACGAACCAGAAGGCACAGGCTCGATGCCCAGTCCCGGGCACAGGCCCAGGTTGTGGGCTCGAGCCCCGGTGTGGGGCCTGTAGGAGGCAGCCGATCAATGATACTCTCATCATTGATGTTTCTCTCTCTCCCTCTCCCTTCCTCTCTGAAATCAATAAAAGGGTATTTTTAAAAGAAGTTCAAACACGTAGTACAAGTTAACGCTGCATGTGCTGAGTCCCAAAGCACAGCCCAAGGCCCGAGGAGCACCCATGACCTTGGGATGCAAAGGTGGACTCGCAGCGCCATGTGACCGCCCTGCAATCAGGAGGAAGGGAACCTGGGGGCGGGGGGGGGGGGGGGGCTGACCTTTCCTGGGGCAGTGACACCAGGACAATCAGAAGGGCTGGCGCACGCCCCCTCCCCCCTCCTGGTTATGAGATGCACCTGCTTCCATCCTGAGCCGAGAGCAGGTGACTCTGTGCCCCTCAGACCCAGTAGCTGCCCACTCAGGTCCTCAGCTTGCTTAGCGCCCACGCCCGGGAAGAGGTTCCCTGTAGTTAACCCTTTGGGACTAACTGTGGGCCCTCAAACTGGAACTAGAGAGAAGAGGCACCGTGGGCAGCTTGGGGGCAACAGCAGCGGCCTGACCTCTGTCTCCCTCCCGTCAGCCCACCAGCCACGCCCCCGAGGGACCAGCAGGCCTGTGTGTGTCCCGTCCCCCCCCCCCGCCACGCCGACCCCCCCTCGCCCCCGGCCCCCGCGCGGCCACTCCCAGAGATTGGGCGATGAAGAGAGGAGAGTGGGAAAACGGAGAATGCGAACCCGGTGCTGGGCGGAGAGGGGACAGGCGGCGGCGGTCAGGCCTACCTACACAGGGCGTGTCCCCGACTCGGCCGACCATTTTGTTCACGATGCCCCCGGTCGAGGTGGCGTAAGCCACATCCCCTTTGGCGTCCAAGGCCACGGCGCCCACGGTGCCCAAGTCTCTGCGAAAAGCACACAGAACAGCGAGATGCGCAGTTGGCGGTCCGTTAGGCGGCCGGTTCCGGGCACGCAGATCTCATCTCCGGCGTGTTGGTCCACACAGCGGGGCTGCATCTGGGGTTTCGCATCAAACAGGACGCAGAGCTGGAGTCCTCGGCGCCAGGAGAGAGTGAGAAGCCCACAGGGCACTGGGCCAGGGCAGTAACCAGCCTGGCCCTGGCCGGCGTGCTCAGTGGTTAGAGCGTCGGCCTGGGGACTGAAGGGTCACGGTTTATTCCTGGTTAAGGGCATGTACCTCAGATCCCTGGCCCTGGTTGGGGCATGGGCCGTAGGCAGCCAATTGATCTTTCTCCCTCCCTCCCTCCCAGTCTCTCTAAAACAGCGGTTCTCAACCTGTGGGTCGCGACCCCTTTGGCAGTCGAACGACCCTTTCACAGGGGTCGCCTCAGACCATCCTGCATCTCAGATATTTACATGACGATTCATAACAGCAGCAACATGACAGTGATGAAGGAGCAACGAAAATAATTTTAAGGTTGGGGGTCACCACATGAGGAGCTGCATTTAAAGGGCCAAGAAGGTGAGAACCACTGCTCTAAAAGAAAATCAATGGAAAAACATCCTTGTGTGAGGATTAGCATAAAAAAAATTAACAAGCGGGTCAGGGACTTAACACAGTGCCGAGGCCGCCCCCGCCAGGCCCGGGGGAGGGACCCTGGGGCCCTGC